GCTTTTACCGAACACGAGATCGATTATGTTCGCTGAGAACGATCCTCCAGGCTCGTACTTGCAACGGAGAAAGATGACTGTGGTGATTGTGGCACCAAGTATTTAAGATACGAAAGAACTCATTCTACAATGGAAAGAAGTCGCGGCGAATCGAGAAATTTTGTGGAGGAAGAACGCGTGAAAGTTTGTAAGTTTTTAGTTTTTCACAAGTATTAGTTAAATCCGAGCAGGAAATCGATTACGTTCGCTGATGAACGATCGTCTAGACTCGTACTTACAAGGAAGAAAGATACTACGAAGAACTGCGGTGATTATTGACATCAAGTATTTAAAAACGTAAATCGTCAACATACAAAAGAAAAGAAGTCGCGACGAAGTTCAGATGTTTTCTGAAGGAAGAGCAAGTAGAAGTTTATAATTTTTTTTCTTTTTTTTTAAATAACAGCTAAGTTCGAATCGAATCATCGTCCAAGTCGACGAGATTTCGAAAATTAATCTGTAAACGAGACAGCTTCCTGTTCACGCGATCAAACGATTATCGCCTGACGGCGATAGAACACTGTACGTGCATGAGGGAACGTGTCAACTTCTACCAGCTTTACACGCACGCGTCCAATCCGGATAATTCTGACACCTTGACACGAAAAACCAGTCAGCATTAAGGCGCACCTTCGCAGCACAACGACGCTCGACTTTTCGCGTCTCCGTGATTGAACAGGATACGTTGGAATGCCAGTTTCCATCTATCTATGAAGTCGCGCTCTCTGTTCGAAGGAAATCTGTACGGCGGTAAATCCATATTATACACTGTCGCGATTGCGACAACAGCTGTTTCGAAGCAGCAGGTGAATAAAAGCAATTGCGATACGGTCTCCGTTCCATATTCCTCCATCAGACTGGTGACGCACGTGTTTGCCTGCACAATCGAACGCTTTCTACGTACGAAGCAACGGACGAGTCCTTCTTCTATCGAACGGACTCGAAACAGGATTAACAAAGCGTATGAAACCCACATTCGTGGTCTGCTTCATTATCCTTCGCCAACACCTCCACGAATAACTGTAATTCGTGATTATTGTGTAATTGAAAGCGATAAACGAGAGAGGAAGGCTCGACAGACGGAGGCCTTCTCGAGAGTCTGATAGCGCTGGCTCGCGCGCCACAGAGGTCTGACCACAGCCGTCTCAATCTACTGTACGTAATTACGTTGCTGTACAGCCGCGAATGCAACTAGTGTCTAACGAGTCACGGCGATGGAGAAGACCGCGTACACACGTACGTAAGGAATGCACGGTTATATACACCGGTGTCTCGTCTCGGCGGGACACTTTCTACCCGCTATACGTGGTAATTCGCAGTCTCCGACGAACGTGAAACACGGATAGAAAAGGCACTTATCGTGCGAAAACGCGTTCCTTCGTCTCGGTCTCACACGGAGCGGAGAGGAAGGATGACACGTTCTCGTTCGACAGTTCGTTTTCGAGGCAGATAGGGCTCGAATATGTTTAGTCAATCTTCAAGTTGAATTCTCGCGAACACCAGACATCCCCGCGTGGATTGGTTCTAACGAAATTTTAAATAAATATAAATTTATAAAAAGCATTAATAACATGTATGAATTTATTATCAGAATAAAATTATCAGAATTATAGATAATTTAAAAAAATTTTTTTTGATTAAGTTATATAGTTCAATTTAAAACATTAATTTTGTTATTAAATTAATATTTAATATATTTATTATATAACTTATATGTATTATATATATATATATAATTAAAAAATTGATTATTATTATTATTTTTGTCGTGGATTGATCAAATTCAAAGTACACTTGACGAACTTCCTCAAGTTTTTGATCTTGTCGGAAATGTGAAGAAATACAAACTATACATGTTGCGTGTTGTTTGGATCGCCTGGGGAACGGCTGGGAAAATATCGGGTTGCCTCTGTTCTTTTCAGGATCGAGCTTAATTGCTTCGCGCCTTGACCTCACCCGGACACGTTGCAATCGTGATCAGAGTGCACACACGTTTAGATTGTCGACGCCAATCGCGTTACCATAACGATAATCTGAATCCTAGCTGCGGGGAAAATCTGCGAGAAAGTAAATGGCCTCGCTGTGGAAAACATTTCCGTGGAATGTCTGAACGCGACGAGCGGAATCTACTTGGAGGCGCAATGATAAGCGCCTGGCTGGCTGCTAACAGCTCCTTCTACTGCACAATGATCCGCGATTCGAGTAAATGTGAACTATGCGCACGATTATCGGCCAAGACTAATTTAATATTAAATTACATATAACAAAATTAAAAGTAAATTTTTTGGCTAAGCAATGCGTTTATTTTACACACAACGTTAATTAATTAAAATACTCTAATCGTAAGTAAAGAAATCTGTGTGCACCAAATTTTTGATCGATACGCAACGACACGAAGAGTTGAACGAAACTAGAAATGAGAAGACAATTCTTCTTAGAATTTTACAAAAGCCGGCGATCGAGAGAAAACGCCCGAGCTGTCGAAGCAGGTGGCGCGGCGAAAAATGTTGGAAAAAATGCGGAAACTCGTCAGTAATCGACGCGGAACACAGTCACTCGATGAACCGTTTTCCATTCGTCGCCTCGCCGTTATTACCGTTATCGAGGCGTAGCTTCTTCGTAACAATTTACGATAACGCAACTCGTCGATGGCCGCCTCGACAACAGCAAGCACGAGGAAATGAAAGCTTGCCGCGGCAACCTGTACGACTTTTGAAGGCTATCGGGTTTTCCTAACCACGCCTCTCTGCCAACGCTTTAGAACGAATGTATCGAAACAAATTCGTGCTCACGCCCACGTTTAATGAAAAGAGCACGTTCGTAAAGACAAGCGGAAAGGCTTGGTCGTTGAATTTCGTTGAACTAGCCGTCCGTTCCAACGCACCATTTAGAGGAAAAACAACGAAGTTGTACCACTAAGTAGTATCTTTACATATTAATTATCTAGTGCTGGATATTTAGAATTCTTACACGGCAGAACTTTCCAATGGAATTTATTTAAAACTTCCTGGAGGAACTTTCAAGAGGAACGTTTCTAACGCTACAACAACCGACCGAATTAAAAGCGTAAAATTTCCATTAGAATTTAAAAGGAATAGAATAACCTCGTAATACAAGCGAAAAGTTAATACTTAAATCGCTAAAAATACGTTACGTCTATGAAAATGCCAACAAAAATCATAAATTGGTCATTTTTGACAATTTTTAGTGACGGAATTCTAGCATTCTAGGATATTGGAAATCACACAGGCCGTCATCAAGAGTGTTTAAGAAATCAAATGGATCGAGCAACTAGTCGTGCCAGCCATTACTTCCGGTGACCTTTAGCGGTCGTGGGATGACCGTTACGTGTGTCGTAACATAACGTAATTTACCGTAAGGTAACGTTACGAGTGTCGTATTCCCGCGCGTAACTCGATAAAGAGGAATCCTTTCACGGAGAAAACGTATTTGCATTAGTCATCGCAAAAAAAAAAAAAAAAAAAAAAAAAAAACGGTACGTTCCGTGTATTCGTTCGAGAATAGCCGGAGGGTGTCTTATCGAAATTCCTGCGCGATTCTGCAAGCGCGGAGTCTCGAGAGCAGCGAGAGAATCGTACGGTACTTGTAAAACAGACGCTCGTTGAATCGCGTGATCGCGTAATCGCGGCCTCTTCCGAACGAGACGAACAACGCCGCTTGAATTTTTCCCAGCTGGCCTGAGAACTCGTAGAACACGGCGTGACACGAGCGAAGAAAGCAATAACGAAACTTGTGTAACTGAATAATTCCGCGATTCTCTGTCTCTCTGCGAGCAGCCACCCTACTCCTCTTTCTCTGGCTTTTCCTGCCGCTTTTACGCGAACGATAACGATCCGTCTCTGCGAACTGGAGCGCGATACAGCGCTTAATTAATTCGAAAATGTTCC